CTGTGCAGTGCTGGGAACAGCAAGGATACTGCGCAGAACCTTCAAGCTTCCTGGCCTCTGGCAGAGGACCCGGGCTGAATGGGGGACGGACACCACCCGTGGGGTGAGACGAGGATTTATATATATATATATATATATATATATATATATATATATATATATATATATATATATATATATATATATATATATATATAGCTCCCCCAACCCAATACATTCAAAACCTCGGACAGTGACCCAACTAGTTAGGACCCAATGTGCATGGGTAGAATAGATCGTCTTTATTAAGTGATCCACCATACTGTCGTATGTCTACATTCTGTAGTTTTCACACAGCGGCCATCAACTTACCTTGTAGTTGATGGCCTTCGTCACAGTATAACCCGTGAAAGAAAAGCGGCGGCCGTCATATTGACTAGTCACAGCACTATATAGTCTTTCATCACACTTGTGACGAAATAGCCAGATAGCTGCTAATAGCTAATCTACCATAACCCACCTGTGATGCATCTTTACACACTACATCTTTCAGGATATAGGTCTTGGCACCGTTTGGGTCTGTGAAGCGTGCTTCCTGGCTGCTTCTTGTCGTTATTCTGAACCTAACGGGGAATTTTATGCTGAACCATACTCCTTCAACACCACGAAGTAAGCTATGTACCCACCAAAAAGGCCAGAGGTCAGTTGGCTTTGGCTTGGGTGAAGTTCTTTTACAGGCGAATTACATCTCCGTCGGCTGTCGTAAACTCCCACTTCTCTGCGGCTCTCTCTGCATCAATTCTTTCTATGGCCAATGTCCTATGAGGTGGGGGGGGGGGGCGGGTGTCGAGTCCCAAAGCTTGCTGTAGCATATTAGCCACAAATATCAATGGTTGTTGATCAGATTCCCAACCTTCTTTCATTCACCAGAGGTGGGGTGAGGTGATTCAGCATCTTCGCAGCTGTCTCTCAGTATGGCCAACTCCATCTTGATGTTGTTTAACTCAGTTTGCATTGTTTCAATCACATCATAGTTAGCAGTCACTCCGGTGTCAATTCGGACAAACGACCGATATTCCTCATTGCCTTTTCCTCAATTTGTTTCACCGCTGTACTGAATTTTGCGTGCAACTGAGAGACCTTTCTTCAGTCCTGCCAATTGGGCTGCAGCCTTCGCCTCTATATTTCTCTAGCACCTCCCGCTTTGAGGTGTCGATAGCCTGCAGCACAACATTTTGGAGCACAGCCTCGTTAGCCTTGTTAATGTTCGCTGACGGAGTTGATCCTCCTGTCTTCTTAGAACAGTGTTTTTAGACATTGTTACTGCCCGTCACATGAACAAAGATTCATTGACAGCTTATTAAGCCACCAAATGTGGTTGTAATCATAAACTATGTGTTCACATGGCGCAGCTAAACCGGAAGCCTCCTCGTCTGTTGAATTGGAGTTGTATATTGTTGATATAATTCTGATTAGTATGATCTGTGATGAATGTGATTTTCAAATGTTGGAAGACATTTCCAAAATACATAAACACACAACCTTTGCTGAAAATATTCGGAGGGAGAACAGAGAAAAAAAGCTGTTTTGGAACTGATGCAGAAGGTTGATCTGAGGAAAAATCAATTCAAGAAGTGGATGAAGTCTGCAAATTCAAACACCTGTGCAAGTTTTGTGGCCGCTTGGGAAATAGTCAGACATGGGAAGCTGTTCACAGATAAAGAATATATTTAAGAGTGAATCATTAAAATTTCAGAACACCTACATGCGGACTTTAAAATCAAGACTGAAATTGTGCTGAAAATCAGCGCGATGAATTTCCATTGTATTTTCCCATTTCGGTCAAGGCTCTGATACACGCTCCAAAAGCCAAAAGGATGACAGCTCACAAAGTTTTTGTTTGCTGGAAGTTCAGCTCTAGAAGTTTGCTCTGAGCTCAGCTTTTTTGTTTGAAAGACACTTTCAACTCTGCGATTTTTATCTTTTTTTTTGTAAGAGTTCAAAATATGTTCATTGAATAAATAAAATTTTCTGAAACATGTATGGACTTCATGGATTTCATAAGCAACGCACTATTTTCGCATGTGTAAAGATGTGTATTGACAATTGCCTGTAGTCTCAGACCTTCACCAACAGAGGGTACTACCACACTGTGAAACAGCTGTGAAATCCCAGATCACATTTACCTGTATGCCAACATTACATGCACAGACAGACATGAAAAATCCTTGGGGGGGGGGGGGTCCTACTTAGCGTTTTTTTACTTTTCGTGGGGTGAGGGGTGGGGGTTTGTGGTACCAATTCACCACGAAAAACGAGGGATTACTGGATTACGAAAGATTCAATATCAACAATTATTTCATTCGGATGTGCATTGTCTTGTTTTAATTTTTAAGATGAGTACAAAAAAATTCAAAATTAAACAACCTGTAACCAAAACTGTAGGAGACAAAAGTGGTAGTGGACAAGTCACTGCATTTAGGTCGAAAATTGGCTTCATTTGGAGCAAGATCACCTGGATCCGTTGCACAGTGAGCATCCAGCTATTGAAAAAGTACCGTGTCTTCACCACCGACTGAAACCGCCTGACCTGCGCATCTTGTTTGGAGTGCAATAACAGCGCGCTCCTGGAGCCTTTATAACGCCGCACGTCCGATCATAGCGAAAGCGTGGCGCAGGGCTGATGGGGTCTTTATACCAAAGGAGAAGGATGCAACGACCATCAGACAGTTCCACCCAATCTCCTTGTTCAAC